GGTTTTAGAGTTTGTCCTCAGGTGAAAAGGTAGTCAATATTTTACATTTTGAAGATAGTTTTTAAAATCACCTACTACATCAGTAGTAATGATCACCTACAACAATACCATTTACACATTGCCACACACATCGGGGTTGTGAAAAGTGCTTTACAGAGCACCATCTCAATTAATCCTCACAACAACTCTATGAAGTAGGTTTTATTATTCTTAATTTATAGACGTGTTAACTGTGGCCCAGGGAGATGAGCTTTCCCGCGATTGCCCAGCTTTTAAGTAAGTGGTAGTTCTAAAACCCAAGTGTGTTTGACCAAAAGCCCTGAGTAACATTTAGCTGTGGGCCTCGTGCGGCTTTGGAGCTGGTCTGAGGTGGGGAATTGTGAATCCCATTTATTTATGCTGAGCTGCGCGCATGTATGCACGTGTAATTTACAAAAAACAAATCCAGGTCAAGATCTCTGTCTGCTTGAAGTTTAAAAGCCTACCTGGGTAGACAGCGGCAAAAATCAACTCATTCATTTATTCGTTTGCTTTCTCCACAAGTATTTATTGCGCACTTCAGTATTCCAGACAGGGCGCTAACCTAGCCCGGCAGGAGAGAATGCTGAGCACAACAGATATGACGTTTGCTTCCAACGATCCCCTTACCGATTCTGGTTTCTCACGAGCGAGGCATTCAAAGAAGCAGGAAATATATCAACAAGGGGGCGACTTAAGCACCAGCTGCGCGGGAGCCCGAGAAAGCGCGCAGAGTCTGCTGAGGTGGTCCGTGCGAACTTCCTGGAGGCAGCAGCAGCCGCAGGCGGGGCGGGAACCCAGGTCGATAGAAAGCGAGAGTCGGGGCCGGGGGCGGGGAAGAGGGGGCGGGGGCCGAGGCCCGGGCGGGGGCAGCCGGCTAGTTAGGGTTAGGGCGGGAGGATTCGGCTTCCCGGCAGCAGAGGGCGCCTGGCGCTGCGGTCCGGCGCGCCGGAGCCGCCCGCGCGGGCGCCGAGAGGAGAGGAGAGGCGAGGAGCGCGAGCGGCGGCGGCCACTGCCACGTATTCCCGGCAGTGGTGGTGGCGGCGGAGCCCGCGGGCAGGTGGGCTGGGAGCGGCGCAGCGGCGGCAGGGCGGGCGAACAGGCGGGCGGGCGCGGGGCGCGGGGCACCGGGCACCGGGCGGGGGTGCGGCGCCGCGACAGCGCGGTTCCCGCCACGCCGGCTACGCCTCCATGCCGTGCTGCCGACTCAGGCCCGGGCGCCCGGCAGGTCCCGAGCGCAACCCGCGCGGGCGGGGTGGGGGCTGAGGGACGCGAGCTCGCCTGCAGGTCGCGGCTCGGGACTCTGCCTCCCGGTCGCTGCGGGGCCGCAGCCGGGAAAAGTTGGGGCGGACCGCGAGCCCGCAGGGCCGGGCGGGAAGTGCGGGTGCGGGGCGGACTCAGGGGTCGGGGGACGCGGTGCAAAGGGCTCGGGCCGGGACAGCCGGGAGGGCCGTGTGTGGGAAGGCGGGAGACGCGGGTCTTCTGAGGACGCCGAGAATGGGGTGCGCTCAGGGTTTCTGGGAGTGGACAAGAGTCCGGCCGGGGGCCCTGTGGGTGAAAAGGATGGGAGCCTGGGGGTCGGGGAGTAGAGGTGAGGCGGGGCGGGATAGTGACTTTCTCATCCCCCACTCTGTCGGGGTAGACCCTGAGACCGGGGCAGGCTCAGAGCTGGGGACGCCTAGGGCTTCTGAAGACCCAGTGGGGAGTTCCTGTACGGGGTGGGTGGAGGAGGGAGCTGAGCATTGCTTCCTCTGTCGCCGGGGCCGACTACCGTCCCTCCCCAGCGGCCAGATTCACCTCAGACTGCATTGCTTTTGCCTTGGGTAAGTTGAGGAACAGCTGAGCGGATGAGATGTTTGGGGCGTTCCGAGATGAGTGGGATTAGGCTATAGGATATCGTAACTATCAACGGGAGCTGTCTGAAAACACTCGCATCTCCTCATGCACCCACCTGTCCGCTCATCCAGTCACTACTGCTTACTGCAAAGCTCCAGCTTTCCTTACTCTTTAAGGGACACCTCTAGGTCCCCAAAGCCCAACAGTGCATCTGCTCACAGCTCTGAGGATGGCAAGAGTGGTCTGCTATGTGTCTGCGTAGGTTGGTGATTTCCGAAACAAGTGGTTCTGGAGGTACTGGATGCTTTATTAGAACAACCTGTGCGGTGCCCCTTGCCAATGGAGATGACTCATGTTGGCTTTTTTTTCTCCCCAAATAAACTTTGTATTCAAGACACAATTCACACATCGTATTCAATGCCTTGTCATTTGCAGCAGTAATACAGCAAGAGACCCATAGTGGGGTTCTTGAGCCTGTGTTGTTGTCCCAGATGTGCTAGCAAGAAGTTTGACCTTGGATGAGTCACTTGCCCTCTCTGAACTTGTGTTTTCTTATCTGTCACATGGGGTATAAAGAGAGAGCTGCACAGACTGATGAAGACAGGAGTAGGTTTCTGAGGGACACAGTAAAATCTTATTCCTTATAAGGCTGGATTTGCCACTCAAAATAAGCCTCTGCTTGTTCTTATAAAGAAATTAGGATAGATTTAAAAGAAAACATGAGAAGCAAGAAAGATTGCACCAAGCAAAACAACAGAAAACTAATAATAGTTGGTATTAGATTTACAGCATAAATACTGTTTTATGCTTGCAGTTAGTGCACTTGGTTGTCCCGCTGTCTTTACAATAAAGTTGCTCATCGTGCTTGGAAAATATGTATTTCACCTGTGGACCCGAATTTTTTCTCATTTTTTAACCTTCAAGCTTGGAGTGGACGCTCAGTTGGATTGTTCTTGCTGGGGTTTGCCTGAAGAACATCCTCAGGGTCTCTCACTGCTATAATCTTACAGGTTTCCTTCCATCTGACTAAGGCTGGGGTCCTTGTATAACTATGCTTCTGCCATCTTTTCCATTCTGGCTTGAGAAGTGGTGAGCTGGTTCCTGTCACCTCTGACATGTCCACACTTCCCAGGTGTCTTTTCAAATGAGTGTTTAAAAGGCAAGCAGAGCGTTAGATACAGCACATTAACAATTGCTCCAGGCAATCATGTGTGTCCTGTCCACCCCACTCCTGTTCCTAGACCGTTCTCACTAGAACTTCCTGGTCTTAAGCTGGCCTTGACATTTAGGATGCTGAGGGCCATCACAGAGTTGAAATGATTTGGCCAGGGTCAACTGCACACTGATGATCAAGCCATGGTTCTGGAAGAAGAGGATTTTATTTTTGTTTTTATTTTTTTAAGGATTTTTTATTTTTGTACTTTATCATAACCTAATGTTTCTATACTTGTCCATTAGTAGCTTTCAAAATCCGTAATGGGTTTGATCACATCATTTTCAGTAATCCTTTTTTTGTCAGCTTTTTGGAAGTTGCAGTTAGCGGTTGTCTCTTGAGTTTGAGGTAGTGGTATTTTATTATTAAACATTAAAAAAAAATTTTTTTTTAAAACCACTTTCCTTTTCAGACCAGATGAGGTAGTGGTAAAAACGATACCTTCTCCAGCAAGTAAAGGCTTGACTAATTAGGTTAAGTCTTTAAAATATCTAGTGTGTATAAATTTTAAAATATCTGTGGGTGCAAATTGTACTTAATTGAGAAGTGTGAATAAAAATCATAGTCGTCACCATCGGAGCCCCTGCCATTGACCAGGGATTGTGAGGTGGGAGCGAGCTTCATTTTACAGGAGAGAAAACAAACCCGAGAGATGGCGCAACTCTGGCACAGCTGTCATGGATAAGTTACTGATGAGCTTTCAATCCACATACCATTTTAACAGCGGAAAAGGAATTCTCAGCTATCCTGCAGGGTTGTACTAGATAAATGAGATACTGTATGTCTAGCAAAAAGTAAACTGTAACGGGCTCCCTAGCCCAGCACACTTTAACATAAGCACTTGTGGACTCTGGAAGCAGTGTGGTGAAGTGGTGAGTTCAAGCATCTTGGGAGTCTGGCAGTAAATACTGAACCTGCTGCCTGACCTCTGTGAGCCTGATTTCCACCTGTGTAAAGTCAGGGTAATACTGTCTGTCTTACATTCAATGGAATGTACCCACTAATTGCAGTGGGTGCTGAGTGAAGGTTGGTGTCCGCTCCTTTCTCTCCCTTGCACACACTTACTTGGGATAACGGGATTGATTAAGTCTTTCAGCAATTATCCTCAAGGGGAAAAGGCTTAAAGTACTTTTTTGTACTTATCAATAATTCTTCTAGCCTTTTGCCTTCCCAACCCAAGCCCCAGCATGTGCAATGAATATTCCAGGGCCTGTGATTGTCTTGTCTAAGAGAAAACTGAAAAAAATCGTAAGCCAGAAAGGACAGGTCTTTGATAGAAAGTTGAAAATGGATATAGCTGGTCTCCCTTTGCCCATTTTGTGGCTTTCTTCCCTTTTTTATTAATTTTTCTGGACAGGGAAAAGGTACAGAATTCAGGGGGTTCTAGCTGGAGGGGGGCCTGGTAGAAGGGGTGCCCTGTGGTGAAGGGGCAGCTAGAGGGAGGAGTTTGATCTGGCTGACAGTCAAAGCTAGAATTTGGTATGGGGGAAATTTCTGTTAGATGCAGGGTTTGGCTAAATATGGGGCCAATTTCCATCTAGTCCTTTAAGGCCCTCTTTTGGGACTTTGAGGTTTTTGTGCTCCAGGCAGATTTTGACGGGTTGTGGTGGCATCATAAATGAGTTTCCATAGTAAATTGTAGGCTGAAAGGAAATTAAATTCCAAAAGGGTGTTTGTTGTGACTGATGCCAGAATTTCTCTGAGAATTTTATTAAGATTCAGTCTATAAAAGTAATTCTTAGTACTCTGAAGATATTAATTAGGAAATAGTTTTTAAAAAGTTGAAGTGTTATCTTTGTGAGCTTTTGAAATGTCATCTTCCTAAATCTTTGGAGCAAATGAGGTTCAAAACATCATAGAGACTTATATTTTAAAAGCATTTCTTCCTAAATGTAATGTTATCCTTCTCTTCCTGTTCCTTTCCTCCTCTTACATTATTTTGGTAATGAGTTAATTTTGGTTTCTTTCACATTGTGGTGGCCTAATTTCTAAATTTATGACCCTTCATTTCTTGATCTTGCATGTATATTTTTTTCCCTTACGTCAATTCTCATTCATTATGAAGAGCTGGTATAGCAAGGTGGGAAAGAGAGAGGACCCTGGAGCTAGGTCGGCAAGAGCTAGGCTCTTTAGAACTTGGATTCAGTCCTCACAGTAGCTCTGGGAGGCTGATCATGCTATTCCCTACACACAGATGTCGGAATGGGTGCAGAAACACCTGTGTATTCACATAGCCAGCAAGAGGTTAATCTGAGTGTCAGCTACAATGATCTATAGGACTCCAAAGCCCATGTTTCCAGCTAGAAAGGCAGGCAGGGGCCTTGCATGCTGTGCCAGGGTTGGGACTTAGTCCGATAGGCAGAGAGGGTCAGGTATGTATTCTAAAAAGGTAGCTCGGTGGCTTTCTGGAGTTTTGAAGTGAAGCAAGTAGAAATTAGGAGTAGAGAAATGAGTCCATTAAAGTAATTGTCTTGAGAAAATGACAAGGGCCTGAACGGAAGGCATTAAGACAGTGGCAGTGGTGGCAGAGAAGAGAGGACTTGTTGGAATCCGTAGAGCTCAGTGCCTTTGGATACTAGAATTGAGGGAGGAATCGAACCTGAGCCTTGCCTTTCCTTGCCTCATCCCTTCCCATTTCAAGTCTGATACCCCAGGGATGGGTGTTGAAGATGCTATGTGCGGGCTAAAAATCTCCGCAGAAACCAAAAGTAGGTCCTTTGGTTTCTGCCGACAGCTAGAGAAAGGTGGCTGAACACAGTCGGAAAGGGCCTTCCCCTCCCTGTGCCACTCCAGCCTTATCACTCCTAATTTTCCAGGAGCATCGCAGAGAGGGACGTTGGATTCTTGACTGCATTTTGGGAAATGCTAGTTTGAGCCATCAAACTTAAGGTGAGAAGTGTGGAAGGGAAGATGGCTTCCTGGGGTGTTGTCTCCACACCTCTCTTCCCTGGTGACACAGGGGACCCACCAGGGTTTGGTCTTCAGTTCTGTAAGAGTTGATTCACCAAATTTGTAGGGGTTGACTGGGAAGCAGGAGTGACTATGAACATAATGGCCAGCCCCTAGAGGAGTTGAGGCCAGCCTCCTCTGATGGGTGAAGTCTCTGCAGGGCACCGAGCCATCCTCAGGGGAGCCGGCATCAGAGCACAGGGAGATGGTTGGCTGGGGTCTCTGTGTCCTGTCATTGGTAGGACGCACTGTTACCATGTCAGGAATATACTGGTCTTGTGCCTTCTCCCCTAGTCAGTGCCAGATGTGGTAATAAACTTGCTTTTGGGCTTCTGTTTTTCCAAGTTGTGCAACATCCCTGCCCTTGTGAGAGTTTGTGCTGGCTCTGGTCAGGCTGGAGGTCAGGTGGTCAGATTCTGGCTTTATTTGGGTCTCTGTTGGACCTGTCTTCTCTTCAGCCACAAGCTGTCTCTGCGGTGAGTCACTCCATGCAAGAGTCTGCTCACCCACCTTCTGCTTGATGTCTACACCTTGCCCTCAAAGAGGGAACCTCTTCTCCTTGTTCTGAGGGCACTTCTCGGCAGTCCCCTAAAGTGTCCAGTGAGTTTCTTTTGTGGGGTTAGAGTCCATGGCAGACAGGTATATGCTTTAATGGGAGAAGAGCATTTCTTCCTGTGGATATAACTATCGTGCTTACCTCTTGAACATTATGTCCTGAGAAAAGTCCTTTTCTTGTTCTTTTTGGTGCGTGTTTGGGTGTGTTTGCTTTAATTATTTTTACTGGGAAATAAAAAAGATATTTATGAAATGTTTAAATCTACAGCAGCGTCTCTGCTTAGGCAGCAGAAGGAACAACTGTTTAGCCAGGATATCATTGATTTATCACTCTTTTCTCCATGTTGTTGTTTTGTTGGCAGAACCCTCTGATTTGTATACTGGTTCATCTTGGATTTCAGTAGTGAGTGTGAAAAGATTCCTGGGCTGTTTGCCGAAGTGGAGGGACTCAAATAAGTGGGCTTCAGGGCTGCCAGTCTTGGCTGTCCCTGCAATCCCAGGAGCCGGGCACATGGTGCCTTTGTCAGGAAGATGGACTTTGGCCAGGTTGTTTCTTCAGCTTTGCCAGGGAGCAGCTCTATTGGTGATAGTGGAGAATCCCTCTTCTATGGGAAAGGGAATTCTCTCCTAATTCTGGTTTTGCCTTATTTCTCATCTTGTGGGGATGAGCTTTGTTTGCAGTGTCCACAGAGCTTTTACAGACATCTTCCTTGCATCCCACATTGCCCTTCTTCCCTATTGGTTCCAATTCAGTCTGTCATCAGTACCGCAGAAACTGGTTTGAACTTTGTCAGTCTTGGGACTGACAAACCTGGGTTTGCAGCATAGAAACCCATTCAGATTGGTGCAGCAATTTCACATCAGCATAAGAAGCCCGTTTTGGTGGTGGTGGTTTTCTTTTCAAATCAGTTTACTTGCTTTCCACATATCATATAGGTAATATGCAAATGTATTCTACTCCTGCAGTCTGCCCTCCCATTTAAATAGCACAGAAGGACACAGCAGACATGTCATATTCCCTTTCTCCCAGTACCCTTTCCCAGGTGCCACCTCCTCCAGGTCCTCAGAAATAACCTGTGTTAGCAGTTGGATCCATGTCCTGAAACTGTCAGTCTATATACACAAATACACTGTGTGTTTCCTTCTTTTCAAAGCCTGAATCTGATTGCATCATATTGCTTTTTTCACATAGTATATCTTCGAGATCTTTTCATGCATGTAGCTCTTCTCTCTTCTTTTAATTTGTCTTTTATTTGCCTATAAAATATTTTCTAATATGTCATAATTTATGAATTGGTCCCCTATTGATGGACATATAAACTAACTCATTAGTTTTGCTATTGTATCTTCATACATACATATTAGTATGTAAATGTTCCTCTAGAAGTGGAATTGGCATGTCAAATATTAAATTTATTTAAAATGTTACAGCAGTACCCATACTATGCTCTCAAGAGATGTACTAGTTCCTATTACCAGTAGCATATGGGCTGCCATTCTCCTGGGTGAAATAAATGGATCGTTTTTTAGTAGGTATTTCATTTATTATTGATGAGGTTGTGAAACTCTTCATTCAGCTTCTTGATTCTTTGTGCTGAGATTGTAGACATTCAGAGTGGTGGGTCCATAGTAACCATAGAAGCTGAGGGAACCAAACCCTCAAGGATCATGGCTGAGCTCAGGGTGGTGTGAGCATCATGCTACCAGTGGTGGCATTGTGGCACCTGGACACAAGAGCTCCTGGTTTCACACTCTCTCTTTCTCCCAGATGCTAGGTATGGTAATAGGACACTTTAATTTTGGTGTAACTTGCCAGAGTATTTCTCCAAACCTTTCATCTGAGGAACCAAGGGTATGTAGATATTGATTAAGATCAGTCTGTCCTGCACTGCGGAGGCATGGATTGGAGACTGGGGAGCGGCATTGGAAGGACACTTAAAGATTGTGTGCTGGAAGATCAGGCGCTGTTGCTTCTGGAAAAGCCTCTGGGAATGTGGTAAAGCAGATCTTTTCTTCTAGTTGCATGTGATTGTTCCCCCTCTCCTGGCTTGCTGTGGGAATATTGTGGTGCTTTAACCCTTAGCAGGGTGCTTTCTGGAGAAGCAGTGATTTCTTAGAAGGTGTCTGAGGGGCATGGCACAGTGGGTTGGTAGAGGAGGCATCTTGTGGCCTCCATGAATAGGCTGATCCCAGGGCCCTCCCTGAAGGCTGGGCTACACAGTGGGCTTCAGGAAGCCCTGGCTTACTGGACCAGAGTTCTTTACCTATCACTCAGAGGGGCAGAGGGCAGGAGTGGGGGAGGGGGAACCCTTGGGGGTCAAAGGGACTGCAGAGTCGAGCCACACAGCTCCCATTTGGCCCGTCATGGCTGTGCGACTTGAGCGTCTATTTTATCTCCCTGGGCTTCAGCTTTTTCCTGTAAATTAGGAGTTATAATTAATACCTGCCTCACAGGGTTGTTATGAAGATTAAAAAAATAATATTCATAAATGTCAGCATATTACCTAATTAGTACTTGGTAATTTTAAGTAACTCTACCTATTTGTGTTCCCCATATGTGTGTGTGTGTGTGTGTGTGTAGATATATAATTTTTTTTTTTTTTTTTTGATACAGAGTCTCACCCTGTCTCCCAGGCTGGAGTGCAGTGGTGTGATCTTAGCTCACTGCAACCTCGGCCTCCCAGGTTCAAGCAATTCTCCTGCCTCAGCCTTCCTAGTAGCTGGGATTACAGGTGTGTGCCACCATGCCTGGCTAATTTTTGTATTTTTAGTAGAGACAGGGTTTCACTCTGTTGGCCAAGCTGGTCTTGAATCCCTGATCTCAGGTGATCTGCCTGCCTCATCCTCCCAAAATGCTGGGGTTACAGGCATGAGCTACTGCACAAGGCCAATAATTGTTTTAAAATGGGTGACTACATATTACATTTGCTAAATATGAAGGTAGACATAATCTGGTAACCTTAAAGAGACGTCAGGAGATTAGCTGCTGCCGAGGGCAAATGAGGGTGGGGGCTATGGGACTAAAAGGGATGAAGAGAGGCTTGGACCCAGGCCTTAGGTGGGCAGGGGAGTTGAGTTGGGATGTTATCTTCCAACACCATTTCTCCTGCAGAAACCCCTGCTTTGTACACACCAGAGGCCCACATGCAGAGGTCTTTTCCTCTTTTTTCAGATAGACTGAGGGCTAGGGGGTTGCTAGTGCAACCTCTGCCATTTATTTCAAGGAGGCTGAGTGAGGCCCTGAAAGGCAGAGTGTCTGCCTCAAGCCACACAGCTGGCCAGGAGAGAGCGCGAATAGGCCCAGCTCTCCGCTCCCTTCTCCACACCGCCATGTGTTGCTCATAGCCAGATGCAGGAAAGAGACATGGTGTTAAGCACTTTGCACAGATCTGCCATTTACTCCTCCCAAGGTTCTTGTGAGATGAGGTTGAGATACACATGTTCTTCTGTTCCTACAGTACCAGCCACAGGTTGCTTTCTTCAGTCCCCTGGTCACCTGTAATTGAGGGGAGGACCAAGACTGGATCCTGCTCCTTCTTTCCTATCATACCACATATGTGGTTAGCTTTTACTGCATGGAGCAGCTCTCCTGGGGACTGATGTGGTACTCGGTCAAATATATGAGTAAGATCCAATTTTCAATTCAGTCTTTCCCTGGCTCTTGTGTCTCTGAAGTGAGGACATTTGCCTCCCTGTTTTGCCCTCTGGGATTAATACAGCACCCCAACCTGCCTTCTAGGCTTATCCTCCACTCAGAATTCATTCAGGAAATACACTGTTCTAGGTGTTAGGGATTTTGCACCAAATAGAAGGAACCAAAATCCTGTTCTCATGGGGCTTATTTTCTAGTGAGGATGACAGACAATAGTGATTAAAATACACGGCATGTTTATTAGGTTCCCAGGGCTGCTATAACAAAGTGCCAGAAACTGCATGGCTTTGACAACAGGAGAATGTTTTCCCATGGTTCTGGGGGCTCTGAGAGTTGTCTGTTCCCTGCCTCCCTTCCAGCTTCTGGTGGTTGCTGGCTGGCCTTGGTGTTCTTGGCTTGTGGCAGCGTAGCTTCAGTCTCTGCCTCTGCTATCCCATGGTGTTCCCGTGTCTGTGTGTGTGTGTGTGTGTGTGTGTGTGTGTGTATGAGAGAGTCAGAGTGCTCCAGAGAGACAGACCAATAGGACATAGATAGATGAGAGGGGATTTTTGGTTGTTGTATTTTTTTTTTTTGAGACAGAATTTTGCTCTTGTTGCCCAGTCTGGAGTGCAGTGGTGTGATCTCGGCTCACCGCAACCTCCGCTCCTGAGTTCAAGTGATTGTCCTGTCTCAGCATCCCGAGTAGCTGAGATGACAGGCATGTACCACCACGCCTGGCTAGTTTTGTATTTTTAGTAGAGACAGGGTTTCTCCATGTTGGTCAAGCTGGTCTCAAAATCCTGACCTCAGGTGATTCACCCGCCTCGACCTCCCAAAGTTCTGGGGTTACAGGCATGAGCCCTTGTGCCCAGCTGAGAGGGAATTTTTTAGGGGAGTTGGCTCACATGATTATGGAGGCTGAGAAGTCCCATGACAGGCAGTCTGCAGGCTGGAGAACAAGGAAGGCTGGTAGTGGGACTCCATCCTAGTCCAAAAACCTCAGAACTAGGAAAGCTGATGGTGTAAGTCTCAGTTTGAAGTTTAAGACCTGAGAACCTAGGGGTTTGGGGGCAGGATGTGCTGGTGCAAGTCTTTCTCACTCAGTCCATTGATTCAGATGACAGTCTTTTCTGGAAACACCCAGATGATGTAGTACTTTACTAGTTATCTGGATATCTTTTAGTTCAGTCAAGTTGACATCTAAAATTAACCATTACAATCTGTGTTTCTGGTTTCTTATAAGGACACTAGTCATTGGATTAGGACCCATCCTATTCTAGTATGACTGTG